AAAAAAATAAATAAATAAAAATAGAACTCGAAATAATCAGTCTTAAAGCTGATTTGATGGTTACTAATAGATCGATAGATGGTCAATAATCGTAGAACTATTTGTTAAGTAATAAGTCTTTATAGATTTATATTATATGGCATTGCTATAGATATAAAAATAGACGAATTAAATCATCAATTTCATATATGATATCATTTKATTTTAATTTAATTATATAATTATCTTTACATTTATTATTATAAATATATCTTCAACAATTCATAAGCCGCTTGAGTAACGAAGCTGATATAACTCGGCCCTTCTATTTATAATATTATTATAATAAAAAAAAGCTAAAAAAGAAATGAAGAGAAAATTACGCCCGCAATGCTAAGTAGTTGGATGATAATGCCCAGATTTATGCCAAATTATTGTTTTATTTGTTTATTGTTTAGCTTGCTGTTTTTATGTTTTTATTTTTATTTTTTTGCATGCAAAACTTTGCTGTGAATGAGTGCTTAAATGTTGTATAAGACACTGAAAGAAAGGGCTCAAATGAAATGCTTGGCTGGACTGAGAGAGTTGGGGAATTTCAATTCGTATACTCTTAGTATTTAGTCTCACTCTCCCCCCTCTCTCTCTCCCCCTCACTCTCACTCCCCTATCAGTGTTTCTTACTCTTTCTGCCTGGTCAATAACATTTCCATTTCCATACAATTAACGCATATTTTTATGGCCATTTGTGTGTGTGTGTGTGTTTTTGGCCATGTTTGAGGCGCTGGTTATGTGATGCAAATTATGAATAGCAAAAGAGCAGATTTTGATAAATTGGCCTGGCCTTTTGTTTGGCTTTGTTGCATAAGCCAGAGCAGCAGCAGCAGCAGCAGCCGATGGGCTTTAGCTGCTGCGGGGGTTCACTGTACAGGCAATCGACTGAAAATCAAATTGGCAAACGCATCCACAAATTGCCAACTCACTGTCAACTGGCGCCTGTGGCATGCGGCATGCGGCATGCGGCATGCGGCATGTGGCAAGTGTGGCTAGTCTGGGGTGCTTTGGCCTCGCTGCGTGGCATACGCAATGCCTTGCACTATAATTTTTTGTTTTTGCTTTCTGCTTCTTCTTATTGTTCAGTTTTTTGATCAGCAGCAATATAACGAGCCGCCGACTAGTTTTCTTTGATAGTAAAAGTATTTTATTTAAATATGCCGACGCATGGAAATCACGTTTTTAACATCTCGTCTTAACATTGAGCCACAGAAAAAAAAGAAGGCGAACAAATGGTCGCTGTTGCGGTTGTTGTTGTTGTTGTTGTTGCTGCTGCTGTTGCTGTTGTTGAAAACATAAACATCTCACAAGCCGAAGCCGAAAAAAAGCAACTTCAAACCGGATTGAACGCAGTCGCACACATTTTCACTTGCCGCAAAATGACGTCAAGAGTCCAAGACACAGTCAAAACAGATGGCCAATACGCGCAGTTAGCGTCGCAGTCGACGTCGCAGTTGCCACTTTCTTCATGAAATTGCACTGAGGTCAGAGCAAGGGGGTATCAAGAGGTCAGCCTGGCAGCAAGGCACACACTCACACGCACCAGCAGCAGAACAAATTTCAGCAGCAGCAGCAGCAGCAACAACAACACCAACAGCAAGTGGCATGCTCTTCAAATCTCTTGCAACTTCAACTGTCATAAGACTCTGGTATTTAGGCTTTTTATTTTTATACATATACATACATATATATATTTCTTTTTCTTTTTCTGTACATCAATCTATGGCAT